CTCCACGAACTTGGTGAGTGGTGCTGACTTGCAGGATGCGGGGGTTCACCAGTTTACTCCTGCGAGTCAGCGGGTGACCCACTACTCGGACGCCCGCACAGGCCGACACCTGGCCACGTTTTCGCGTCGGCCGGGGTCGAGTCTCTACACCCTGACCACTGAGTCTCCTCCTGTCCCTGCGTCTGGCCAGGTAGCTGCGTCGGGTCAGGTGTTTGCTGCTGCGTCCAGGTCTGGTCCTGAGACTGCCCCCTGCTCGTGTCGCCTCCCGTCTCACGAGACTCTCCTGTGGCACCACCGTCTTGGCCACCCCTTCTTGCCTCGTCTGCGGGGCATGGCTTCCCGTGTCCTTGTCTCTGGTCTCCCCCGGTCTCTCCCTCCCCTTCCTCCGGGGCCAGGACCTTCCTGTGTCCCCTGTGTCGAGGGGCGGCTCCGGGCTGCCCCTCACTCCTCCCAGTTTCCCCTGACAGAGGCTCCTCTACAGACGCTTCACATGGACGTGTGGGGCCCGGCCCGCGTCCGTGGACAGGGTCACGAGCGCTACTTCCTACTGGTGGTTGACGACTACTCGCGTTACACCACAGTCTTCCCCTTGCGCAGCAAGGGTGATGTCACTGAGGTGTTGATCGACTCGATCCGCGCAGCTCGTCTCCAGCTCAGGAGGAGCTTCGGCTCGGACTTTTCTGTTCTGCGTCTGCACTCTGACCAAGGTGGAGAGTTCTCCTCTGGCCTTCTACGAGCCTACTGTCGTGCACGAGGCATCCGCCAGACCTTTACGCTTTCGACTCTCCACAGCAAAATGGGATTGCTGAGCACCGCATTGGCATGGTAATGGACGTCGCTCGTACGTCCATGATGCATGCGGCTGCCCCCCATTTTCTGTGGCCGTTTGCGGTTCGGTACGCGGCGCATCAGATCGACCTTCACCCCAGGGTCTCCCGGCGGGAGACCTCCCCAGCTCTGCAGTGGACGGGGAAGGTCGGCGATGCTGCGTTCCGTGTCTGGGGATCTCGGGCGTTTGTCCACGACTTGTCTGCGGACAAGCTGTCCCCTCGTGCTGCTCCCTGTGTCTTCCTTGGGTTCCCCCCTGACGCCCCCGGGTGGCAGTTCTACCACCCCACCTCTCGTCGTGTTTTGTCCTCCCAGGACGTCACGTTCGACGAGTCAGTCCCCTTCTACCGCCTCTTCCCCTACCGCACTCCTTCCCTCCCCCCGCCACCGCACTTCCTTGTGCCAGGTCCCCCCCCGGTAGACCCCCTTCCCCCTCAGGGTCCTGCCCCTTCAGGTGTGTCCCAGGTAGACGCAGTCGAGCCAGTCGAGGTTGCTGGTGACTCTGGTACTGCTGCGGGTGCTGAGCCTGGGGGTGCTGACTCTTAGGGTGCTGCGCGCGTGGGTGCTGAGCCTGGGGGTGCTGAGCCTGGGGGTGCTGTGTCTGGGGGTGCTAAGACTGGGGGTGCTGCGACTGGGGGTGCTCAGCCTGGGGGTGCTGAGCCTGGGGGTGCTCCGTCAGGAGCTACTGAGCCAGGGGGTGCTGCGTCTGGAGCTACTGAGCCAGGGGGTGCTGCGTCTGGAGCTGCTGAGCCTCCAGTTGAGGAGCCTGCGGCCAGTGGACCACCCCTTGTGGCGTCTGGCGGTGCGGGGCCTGGACGTTCTCAGGGTGCTTCGTCTCGGCGGGAGCCACTCTCTCCACAGGAGCTGCGCGAGTGGTTTGCTTGCCGCTGGAGGCGTACTGCTGGAGCTGGAGCTTCTTCGGCCGCTGAGGGTACTTGTGCCGTCGGTCCCGGAGCTGCTGGGCCCTCGGGTCCGCCTGGAGCTGGAGCTGCTGAGGGTGTTGGTGCTGAGACTGCTGTTGTCCTTCCTGGCGGTGGTCCTGCTGCGGGTGCTGCTGGTGCTGCTGGAGGTCCTGCAGCTGGAGGTGCTCTTGGCACTGGTGCTGCCGCTGCGGGTGCTGGTGCTGTCCCTGCTGTGTCTGGAGTTGCCGCGCGGCCTCGGCCGTACTTCGTTCCGCTCCTACAGCAGGTTCTTGGTCTTTCTCCTCCTGTAGAGTGTCCACTGCCTGTCCAGTCACAGTCACAGTTAGAGACCGCCTCCCCACTTCCTGCTCCCTCTCCTTACACTGGTCCTACTGGAGGTCTTACTGAGCGTCGTGAGCCTGCGTCTCGTCCCGCGTCGCCTGTTCGTGCTGCTCGCGCTAGTGGTCGCGGTTCGCGTCAGCGTCCTCCTCCTGTCCCTGGCACGCACCGGATGTCTCTGTGTCCGTCCACTGCTCCTCTGCATGTCCCTTTGCCTTCTCCTGCTTCCTCTCTTCCTGCGCTTGCCGACCCGGCGTCGGACTCTCTTCGTGCTGCCAGTTCTACTGTCACGCGTCTCCTTGCTACTGCCGTCACTGACCCCTCTTTTGAGTCCACTGCTGCGTCTGCTCTTGTTGCTGAGCTCGTCGACTTTGCTGCTCGCTGTCGTCTAGACTACGCTGCTAGTCTTGTTGCTGAGTCTGTGTGTGTCTGTCCTCCGTCCGTCGGGGGTGAGTGTGCTCTTGGCACGAACGTCCTTGAGGACAGGCAAGAGGAGTTCCAGTGTCTGGCTGCTGCTTCACCTCATCTCGCGTCCGTACTGCTTGCCCCTGAGGGAGACCCGGATGCACTAGACATCCCGACTCCGGGCTCTTACGCGGAGGACGTAGAGGGTACCTACTCCTCTAAGTGGCAGGCAGCTATGGATGCAGAGATGGCTTACTGGAAGTCCACAGGCACCTACGTTGATGCGGTTCCCCCTCCTGGGGCGAACATCGTCAGTGGCATGTGGATCTTCAGGGTGAAGCGGCCGCCGGGCTCTCCACATGTCTTCAAGGCGCGGTACATGGCTCATGGCTTCAGTCAGCGGCAAGGAGTTGACTACTTTCAGACCTTCTCTCCCACCCCGGAGATGACCACTCTTCGGGTGCTGCTGCACATAGCCGCTCAGCGCGACTACAAGCTTCACTCTCTTGACTTCAGCACTGCTTTCTTGCAGGGTAGCCTGCACGAGGAGATCTGGCTGCACCGTTCACCTGGCTTCACTGGGACTTTCCCTCCTGGCACCGAGTGGAGCCTCCGACGGCCAGTCTACGGTCTCCGCCAGGCACCGCGTGAGTGGCACGACACACTGAGGACTACGCTTGCGGCTCTTGGGTTTGCTCCCTCTACTGCTGACCCGTCGTTGTTTCTGCGCACCAACACCTCTCTGCCGCCGTTCTACATCCTCGTGTACGTCGACGACTTGGTCTTTGCCACAGCTGACACTGCTGGACTCGCCTACGTGAAGTCCGAGCTGCAGAAGAGACACACGTGCACAGACTTGGGTGAACTGCGCAGCTACCTTGGCTTGCAGATCACCCGGGACAGAGCACAGCGCACCATTACCCTGACTCAGTCACACATGGTGCAGCAGGTCCTTCAGCGCTTCGGCTTCACGTACTCCTCGCCTCAGGCCACTCCTTTGTCTACTCGCCACTCGCTCTCAGCTCTGCCTTCGGATGAGTCCGTAGAGTCGAGTGGCCCGTACCCAGAGCTTGTTGGCTGCCTCATGTACCTGATGACCTGCACACGACCTGACCTTGCATACCCTCTTAGCATTCTTGCGCGCTATGTTGCTCCTGGGAGACACCGACCAGAGCACATGGCTGCAGCGAAGAGGGTGTTGCGCTACTTGTGCAGTACGTCGGGCATGGGGCTAGTGCTTGGAGGGCGGAGTCCAGTGGTCCTCACTGGGCACCCGGACGCGTCTTGGGCTGACGACCAGGCTACTCAGCGGTCGTCACAGGGTTACACCTTCAGTCTTGGTTCCGGCTCTATTTCGTGGCGGGCTACTCGCTCGTCTTCTGTTCTCGGCTCCATTTGTGAGGCTGAGATCTACGCCGGGGCCATGGCTGCTCAGGAGCTTCGCTGGCTCACCTACCTGCTGACTGACCTTGGAGAGCCGCCTCGTTCTCCTCCAGTGCTGTACGTAGACAACAGGGCCATGTTGGCCTTGTGTCGAGAGCAGCGCCTGGAGCACAGAACGAAGCACATTGCTCTCCGCTACTTTCTTGCTTGTGAGCTGCAGCAGCGTGGTCAGTTGCAGCTTGCGTACGTGGCCTCTGAGGCCAACACTGCTGATGTTTTCACCAAGGCACTTCCGCCTTGTGATCATCAGCGCTTCTGCACTCAGCGGGGACTTGTACCTGTCTTACCTCACTTGCTCACCTCTTGATCTTACTTGTACTCTTGCATATATATATACATGCTCTTGCTTGTTTAGTGTTTTATATATATGTGCACTCCTGCATGTGAACTGGCCTTGTGGCCTTGACTTTGTGCTCGGACTGTGTGGTGACTTTATGATCCACCCTGAGCTTGCTTTGCTTTGCTTGACTGGTCTTGTGACCCCTTGTTCTCCCCCACTTTGCCTATGGGGGTGTGTCAGAACATATAGCTTTTGCATATTGTGTAGGCTATAGTAGGGTAGCCCATAATGGGTACAACCCAATTAGGGTTAGTACTTGTACTCACTTCATTCATAGTTCATTCATTCCATTGCTCAACTCTTCTCAAATGGGGCAGGTGATGGAAAGCGGGAGAATGGGGCGGGTGATGGAAAGCGGGAGAATGGGGCGGGGTGATGGAAAGCGGGGGAACGGGGCGTGCCTGGTCCAGGAGTGTGCATGGTCTAGGAGCTTGCTTGGTCCAGGAGCCTGCTTGGTCTAAGAGCTTGCCTGGTCCAGGAGCTTGCCTGGTCCAGGAGCTTGTCTGGTTTAGAGGCTTGCCTGGTCCAGGTGCTTGCCTGGTCCAGGAGCTTGCCTAATTAGGAGCTTGCCTAGTCCAAGAGCTTGTATGGTCAAAGAGCTTGCCTGGTCCAAGAGTTTGCCTGGTCCAAGAGCTAGCATGGTCCAGGAACTTAGGGACCAAGCAAGCTCCTGGACCATGCAAGCTCTTTGACTAGACAAGCTCTTGGACTAGGCAAGCTCCTAACCAGGCAAGCTTGTCTGGTCAAAGAGCTCGCTTGGTCCACGAGCTTGCCTGGTCCAGGAGCTTGCCTAGTCCAAGAGCTTGTATGGTCAAAGAGCTTGCCTGGTCCAAGAGCTTGCCTAGTCCAAGAGCTAGCCTGGTCCAAGAGCAAGCTCCATCTCGGGGAGATGGAATGCGGGAGAATGGGGCGGGGTGATGGATAGCAGGAGAATGGGGCGGAATGAAGGAAAGCGGGAGAATGGGGAAGGTGATGGAAAGCGGGAGAATGGGGCGGGTGATGGAAAGCGGGAGAATGGGGCGGGGTGATGGAAAGCGGGAGAATGGGGCCGGGTGATGGAACACGGGAGAACGGGGCGGAATGAAGGAAAGCGGGAGAATGGGGAAGTTGATGGAAAGCGGGAGAATGGGGCGGGTGATGGAAAGCGGGAGAATGGGGCGGGGTGATGGAAAGCGGGAGAATGGGGCGGGGTGATGGAAAGCGAGAGAATTGGGCTGGGTGATGGAAAGCGGGAGAACGGGGCGGGGTGATGTAAAGCGGGAGAGTCGGCGGGGTGATGGAATGAGGGAGAATGGAGCGGGGTGATGGAAAGCGGGAGAATGAGGCGGGGTGATGGAAAGAGGGAGAATGGGGCGGGTGATGGAAAGCAGGAGAACGGGGCGGGGTGATGGAAAGAGGGAGAACGGGGCAGGGTGATGGAAAGAGGGTGAATGAGGTGGGGTGATGGAAAGAGGCAGAATGAGGCGGGGTGATGGAAAGCGGGAGAATGGGGTGGGGTGATGGAAAGCGGGAGATTGGGGCGGGGTGCTAGATAGCGGGAGAATGGGGCGGGGTGATGGAAAGCGGGAGAATGGGGCGGGGTTATGGAAAAAGAGAGAATGGGGCGGGGTTATGGAAAGAGGGAGAATGGGGTGGGGTGATGGATAGTGGGAGAATGAGGTGGGGTGATGGAAAGCAGGAGAATGGGGCCGGTGATGGAAAGCGGGAGAATGGGGCGTGGAGATGGAAAGTGGGAGAATGGGGCGGGGTGATGGAAAGCGGGAGAATGGGGCTGGGTGATGGAAAGCGGGACAATGGGGTGGGGTGATGGAAAGCGGGAGAACAGGGCGGGGTGATGGTAAGCGGGAGAGTCGGCGGTGTGATGGAATGAGGGAGAATGGATTGGGGTGATGGAAAGCGAGAGAATGGGGCTGGGTGATGGAAAGAGGGAGAATGGGGCAAGGTGATGGAAAGAGGAAGAATGGGGAGGGAGATGGAAAGAGGGAGAATGGGGCTGGGTGATGGAAAGCGGGAGAATGGGGCGGGGTGATGGAAAGCGGGAGAATGGGGCGGGGTGATGGAAAGCAGGAGAATGGGGCGGGGTGATTGAAAGAGGGAGAATGGGGTGGGGTGATGGAAAGTGGGAGAATGATGCAGGGTGATGGAAAGAGGGAGAATGGGGCGGTTGATGGAAAGCGGGAGAATGGGGCGGGGTGATGGAAAGAGGTAGAATGATGAGGGGTGATGGAAAGCGGGAGAATGAGGCGGGGTGATGGAAAGCGGGAGAATGGGGTGGGTGATGGAAAGCAGGAGAATCGGGCGGGGTGATGGAAAGCGGGAGAAGGGGGCGGGTGATAGAAAGCGGGAAAATGGGGTGGTTGATGGAAAGCGGGAGAATGGGGCGGGGTGATGGAAAGCATGAGAATGGGGCGGGGGGATGGAAAGCAGGAGAACGGGGCGGGGTGATGGAAAGCGGGAGAATGGGGCGGGGTGATGGAAAGCGGGAGAATGGGGCGGGGTGATGGAAAGCGAGAGAATGGGGCGGGGTGATGGAAAGCGGGAGAATGGGGCGGGGTGATGGAAAGCGGGAGAATGGGGCGGGGAGATGGAAGCAGGAGAATGTGGTGGGGTGATGAAAAGCAGGAGAATGGGGCGGGGTGATGAAAAGCAGGAGAATGGGGCGGGGTGATGGAAAGCTGGAGAACGGGGCGGGGTGATGGAAAGCGAGAGAACGGGGCGGGGTGATGGAAAGCGGGAGAATGGGGCGGGCTGATGGAAAGCGGGACAATGGGGTGGGGTGATGGAAAGCGGGAGAATGGGGCGGGGTGATGGAAAGCGGGAGAATGGGGCGGGGTGATGGAAAGCGGGAGAATAGGGTGGGTGATGGAAAGCGGGAGAATGGGTCGGGGTGATGGGAAGCGGAAGAATGGGGCGGGGTGATGGAAAGAGGGAGAATGGGGTGGAGTGATGGAAAGAGGGAGAATAAGGCGAGTTGATGGAAAGCAGAAGAATGGGGCGGGGTGATGGAAAGCGGGAGAATGGGGTGGGGTGATGAAAAGCGGGAGAATGGGGCGGGGTGATGGAAAGCGGGAGAATGGGGCGGGGTGATGGAAAGCGGAAGAATGGGGCGGGGTGATGGAAAGAGGGAGAATGGGGTGGGTTGATTGAAAGCAGGAGAATGGGGCAGGGTGATGGAAAGAGGGATAATGGGGCGGGAGATGGAAAGCAGGAGAATGGGGCGGGGTGATAGAAAGAGGCAGAATGATGCGGTTTGATGGAAAGCGGGAGAATGGGGTGGGGTGATGGAAATCGGGAGAATGGGGTGGTTGATTGAAAGCGGGAGAATGGGGCGGGGTTATGGAAAGAGGGAGAATGGGGCGGGGTTTGTAAAGAGGGAGAATGGGGTGGGGTGAAGGAAATCGAGAGAATGGGGCGGGGTGATGGAAAGCGGGAGAATGGGGCGGGGTGATGGGAAGCGGGAGAATGGAGCGGAGTGATGGAAAGTGGGAGAAAGGGGCGGCTTTATGGAAAGCGGGAGAATGGGGCGGGGTGATGGAAAGCAGGCGAATGGGGCGGGGTGATGGAAAGCGGGAGATTGGGGTGGGGTGATGGAAAGCGGAAGATTGGGGTGGGGTGATGGAAAACGGGAGAATGGGGCGAGGTGATGGAAAGCGGGAGAACGGGGCGGGGTGATGGAAAGCGGGAGAAAGGGGCGGGGTGATGGAAAGCGGGAGAATGGGGCGGGGTGATGGAAAGCGGAAGATTGGGGTGGGGTGATGGAAAGCGGGAGAATGGGGCGAGGTGATGGAAAGCGGGAGAACGGGGCGGGGTGATGGAAAGCGGGAGAAAGGGGCGGGGTGATGGAAAGCGGGAGAATGGGGCGGGGTGATGGAAAGCGGGAGAATGGGGCGGGGTGATGGAAAGCGGGAGAATGGGGCGGGGTGATTGAAAGATGGATAATGGGGTGGGGTGATGGAAAGTGGGAGAATGGGGCGGGTGATGGAAAGCGGGAGAATGGGGCGGGGTGATGGAAAGAGGCAGAATGATGCGGGGTGATGGAAAGCGGGAGAATGAGGCGGGGTGATGGAAAGCGGGAGAATGGGGTGGGTGACGGAAAGCGGGACAATCGGGCGGGGTGATGGAAAGCGGTAGAATGGGGTGGTTGATGGAAAGCGGGTAAGTGGGGCGGGGTGATGGAAAGCGGGAGAATGGGGTGGGGTGATGGAAAGCAGGAGAATGGTGCGGTGTGATGGAAAAGGGGAGAATGGGGCGGGGTGATGGAAAGCGGGAGAATGGGGCGGGGTGATGGAAAGCGGGAGAATAGGGCGGGGTGGTGGAAAAGGGGAGAATGGGGCGGGGTGATGGAAAGCGGGAGAATGGGGTGGGTGATGGAAAGTGAGAGAATGGGGCGGGGTGATGGAAAGAGGGAGAAAGGGGCGGGGTGTGTAAAGAGGGTGAATGGGGCGGGGTGATGGAAAGTGGGAGAATGGTGCGGGGTGATGGAAAGCGGGAGAATAGGGCGGGGTGATGGAAAGCGGGAGAAAGGTGCGGGGTGATGGAAAGCGGGAGAAAGGGGCGGGGTGATGGAAAGAGGGAGAATGGGGCGGGCTGATGGAAAGCGGGACAACGGGGCGGGGTGATGGAAAGCGGGAGAATGGGGCGGGGTGATGAAAAGCGGGAGAATGGAGCGGGGTGGTGGAAAGCGGGAGAAAAGGGTAGGTGATGGAAAGCGTGTGAATGGGTCGGGTTGATGGAAAGAGGGAGAATGGGGCGGGTTGATGGAAAGAGGGAGAATGGGGCGAGGTGATGGAAAGCACGAGAATGGGGCGGGGTGATGGAAAGCGGGAGAATGGGGCGGGGTGATGAAAAGCGGGAGAATGGGGCGAGGTGATGGAAAGCGGGAGAATGGGGCGGGGTGATGGAAAGTAGAAGAATGGGGCGGGGTGATGGAATGAGGGAGAATCGGGTGGGGTGATGGAAAGCGGGAGAATGGGGCAAGGTGATGGAAAGAGGGATAATAGGGCGGGTGATGGAAAGCGGGAGAATGGGGCGGGATGATAGAAAGAGGCAGAATGATAGGGGGTTGATAGATTGCGGGAGAATGGGGCGGGGTGATGGAGATCGGGAGAATGGGGTGGTTGATTGGAAGCGGGAGAATGAGGCGGGGTTATAGAAAGAGGGAGAATGGGGCGGAGTTTTTAAAGAGGGAGAATGGGGCGGGGTGATGGAAATCCGGAGAATAGGGCGGGGTGATGGAAAGCGGGAGAATGGGGCGGGGTGATGGGAAGCGGGAGAATTGAGCGGAGTGATGGAAAGCGGGAGAAAGTGGCGGCTTTATAGAAAGCGGGAGAGAGGGGCGGGGTGATGGAAAGCGGGAGAATGGGGCGGGGTGATGGAAAGCGGGAGAATGGGGCGGGGTGATGGAAAGCGGGAGAATGGGGCAAGGTGATGGAAAGAGGGATTATGGGGTGGGGTGATGGAAAGCGGGAGAATGGGGCGGGGTGATGTAAAGAGGGATAATGGGGCGGGTGATGGAAAGAGGGAGAATGGGGCGGGGTGATGGAAAGAGGCAGAATGATGCAGATTGATGGAAAGCGGGAGAATGGGGCGGGGTGATGGAAATTGGGAGAATGGGGTGGTTGACTGAAAGCCGGAGAATAGGGCGGGGTTATGGAAAGAGGGAGAATGGGGCTGGGTCTGTAAAGAGGGAGAATGGGGCGGGGTGATGGAAAGCGGGAGACAGGGGCGGGGTGATGGAAAGCGGGAGAATTGGGCGGGGTGATGGAAAGCGGGAGAATGGGGCGGGGTGATGGAAAGCGGGAGAATGGGGCGGGGTTATGGAAAGCGGAAGAATGGGCCGGGGTTATGGAAAGCGGAAGAATGGCGCGGGGTGATGGAAAGCGGGGGAATGGGGCGGGGTGATGGAAAGCAGGAGAGTCGGCGAGGTGATGGAATGAGGGAGAACGGAGTGGGGTGATGGAAAGCAAGAGAATGGGGCGGGGTGATGGAAAGTGGGAGAATGGGGCGGGGTGATGGAAAGCGGGAGAATGGGGCGGGGTGATGGAAAGCGGGAGAATGGGGTGGGGTTATGGAAAGCGGGAGAATGGGGCGGGGTAATGGAAAGCGGAAGAATGGGGCGGGGTGGTGGAAAGCGGGGGAATGGGGCGGGGTGATGGAAAGCAGGAGAGTCGGCGAGGTGATGGAATGAGGGAGAACGGAGCGGGGTGATGGAAAGCGGGAAAATGGGGCGGGGTGATGGAAAGAGGGAGAATGGGGTGGGTGATAGAAAACGGGAGAATGGGGCGGGGTGATGGAAAGAGGGATAATGGGGCGGGTGATGGAAAGCGGGAGAACGGAGCGGGGTGATGGAAAGAGGCAGAATGATGCGGGTTGATGGAAAATGGAAGAATGGGGCGGGGTGATGCAAATCGGGAGAATGGGGTGGTTGATTGAAAGCGGGAGAATGGGGCGGGGATATGGAAAGCGGGAGATTGGGGCGGGGTGATGGAAAGCGGGATAATAGGGTGGGTGATGGAAAGCGGGAGAATGGGTCAAGGTGATGGAAAGAGGGAGAATGGGGCAGGGTGATGGAAAGCAGGAGAATGGGGCGGGTTGATGAAATGCGGGAGAATGGGGCGGGGTGATGGAAAGCGGGAGAATGGGGCGGGGTGATGGAAAGCTGAAGAATGGGGCAGGGTGATGGAAAGAGGGAGAATGGGGTGGGGTGATGGAAAGCGGGAGAATGGGGCGGGGTGATGGAAAGAGGGATAATGGGGCGGGTGATGGAAAGAGAGAGAATGGGGCGGGGTGATGGAAAGAGGCAGAATGATGCAGATTGATGGAAAGCGGGAGAATGGGGCGGGGTGATGGAAATTGGGAGAATGGGGTGGTTGATTGAAAGCGGGAGAATAGGGCGGGGTTATGGAAAGAGGGAGAATGGGGTGGGGTCTGTAATGAGGGAGAATGGGGCGGGGTGATGGAAAGCGGGAGACAGGTGCGGGGTGATGGAAAGCGGGAGAATTGGGCGGGGTGATCGAAAGCGGGAGAATGGGGCGGGGAGATGGAACGCGGGAGAATGTGGCGGGGTGATGGAAAGCGAAAGAATGGGTTGGGGTGATGGAAAGCGGGAGAATGGGGCAGGGTGATGGAAAGCGGGAGAATAGGGCGGGGTGATGGAAAGCAGGAGAATGGGGCGGGGTTATTGAAAGCGGAAGAATGGGGCGGGGTTATGGAAAGCGGAAGAATGAGGCGGGGTGATGAAAAGAAGGAGAAAGGGGCGGGGTGATGGAAAGCAAGAGAATGGGGCGGGGTGATGGATAGTGGGAGAATGGGGCGGGGTGATGGAAAGCGGGAGAATGGGGCGGGGTGATGGAAAGCGGGAGAATGGGGTGGGGTTATGGAAAAGCGGGAGAATGGGGCGGGGTAATGGAAAGCGGAAGAATGGGGCAGGGTGATCGAAAGCGGAAGAATGGGGCGGGGTGGTGGAAAGCGGGGGAATGGGGCGGGGTGATGGAACACAGGAGAGTCGACGGGGTGATGGAATGAGGGAGAACGGAGCGGGGTGATGGAAAGCGGGAGAATGGGGCGGGGTGATGGAAAGAGGGAGAATGGGATGGGTGATAGAAAGCGGGAGAATGGGGCGGGGTGATGGAAAGCGGGAGAACGGAGCGGGGTGATGGAAAGAGGCAGAATGATGCGGGTTGATGGAAAATGGGAGAATGGGGCGGGGTGATGGAAATCGGGAGAATGGGGTGGCTGATTGAAAGCGGGAGAATGGGGCGGGGTCATGGAAAGAGGGAGAACGGGGCGGGGTTTCTAAAGAGGGAGAATGGGGTGGGGTGATAGAAAGTGGGAGGATGGGGCGGGGTGCTGGAAAGCGGGAGAATGGGGCGGGGTGATGGAAAGCGAGAGAATGGGGCGGGGTGATAGAAAGTGGGAGAATCGGGCGGGGTGCTGGAAAGCGGGAGAATGGGGCGGGGTGATGGAAAGCTGGAGAATTGAGCGGAATGATGGAAAGGGGGAGAATGGGGCGGCTTTATGGAAAGCGGGAGAATTGGGCGGGGTGATGGAAAGCGGGAGAATGGGGGTGATGAAATGCGGGAGAATGGGGCGGGGTGATGGAAAGCGGGAGAATTGGGCGAGGTGATGGAAAGCGGGAGAATGGGGCGGGGTGATGGAACGCGGGAGAATGTGGCGGGGTGATGGAAAGCGGAAGAATGGGGTCGGGTGATGGAAAGAAGGAGAATGGGGTGGGGTGATGGAAAACGGGAGAACGGGGCGGGGAGATCGAAAGCGGGAGAATGGGGCGGGGTGATGGAAAGCGGGAGAATGGTGCGGGGTGATGGAAAGCTGGAGAATGGAGCAAGGTGATGGGAAGGAGGGAGAATATTGGGCGGGTTTATGGAAAGCGGGAGAATGGGGCACGGAAATGGAGGGAGGGAGAATAGGGCAGGGTGATGGAAAGCGGGAGAATGAGGCGGGGTTATGGAAAGCGGGAAAATGGGGCAAGGTGATGGAAAGCAGGAGAATGGGGCGGGGTGATGGAAAGAGGGAGAATGGGGCAGGGTGATGGAATGCGGGAGAATGGGGCGGGGTGCTGGAACGCGGGAGAATGGGGCGGGGTGCTGAAAAGCGGGAGAATGGGTTGGGGTGATGGAAAGCAGGAGAATGGACGGGGGTGATAGAAAGCAGGAGAATGGGGCGGGGGGGGATGGAAAGAGCGAGAATGGGGGGGGGGGGGATGGAAAGAGGGAGAATGGGCATGGGGGGGTGGAAAGGGGGAGAATGGGGCAGGGTGAAGGAAAATGAGAGAATGGGGCGGGGTGATGGAAAGAGGGAGAATGGGGCGAGGTGATCGAAAGAGGGAGAATTGGGCGGGGTGATGGAAAGCCGGAGAATGGGGCAAGGTGGTGGAAAGCAGGAGAATGGGGCGGGGTGATGGAAAGCCGGAGAATGGGGCGGGGTGCTGGAAAGCGGGAGAATCGGGCGCGGTGCTGAAAAGCAGGAGAATGGGGCGGGGTGATGGAAAGCGGGGGAATGGGGCGGGGTGATGGAAAGCGGGAGAATGGGGCCGAGTGATGGAAAGTGAGAGAATGGGGAGGGGTTCTGGAAAGCGGGAGAATGGGGCGGGGTGGTGGAAAGAGGGAGAATGGGGCGGGTGATGGAAAGAGGGAGAATGGGACGGGGTGATGGAAAGTAGGAGAATGGGGCGGGGTGATGGAAAGCGGGAGAATGGGGCGGAGTGATGGAAAGCAGGAGTATGGGGCGGGTTGATGGAAAGCAGGAGAATGGGGCGGGGTGATGGAAAGCGGGAGAATGGGGCGGGGTGATGGAAAGCGGGAGAATGGGGCGGGGTGATGGTAAGCGGGAGAATGGGGCGGGGTGATGGAAAGCGGGAGAATGGGGCGGGGTGATGGAAAGCAGGAGAATGGGGCGGGTTGATGGAAAGCGGGAGAATAGGGTGGGTGATGGAAATCGGGAGAATGGGTCGGGGTGATGGAAAGAGGGAGAATGGGGCGGGGTGATGGAAAGAGGGAGAATGGGGCAAGGTGATGGAAAGTAGGAGAATGGAGCGGGGTGATGGAAAGTAGGAGAATGGGGCGGGGTGATGAAAAGCAGGAGAATGGGGCGGGGTGATGGAAAGCTGGAGAATGGGGCGGGGTGATGGAAAGCGGAAGAATAGGGCGGGGTGATGGAAAGAGGGAGAATGGGGAGGGGTGATGAAAGCGGGAGAATGGGACGGGGTGATGGAAAGAGGGATAATGGGCGGGTTGATGGAAAGCGGGAGAATGGAGCGGGGTGATAGCAATCGGGAGAACGGGGTGGCTGATTGAAAGCAGGAGAATGGGGTGGGGTTATGGAAAGAGGGAGAATGGGGCGGGGTTGTTAAAGAGGGAGAATGGGGCGGGGTGATGGTAAGCGGGAGAAAGGGGCGGGGTGATGGAAAACGGGAGAATGGGGCGGGGTGATGGAAAGCGGGAGAATGGGGCAGGGTGATGGAAAGCGGGAGAATGGGGCGGGGTGATGGAAAGCAGGAGAATGGGGCGGGGTGGTGGAAAAGGGGAGAATGGGCGGGGTGATGGAAAGAGGGAGAATGGGGCGGGCTGATGGAAAGCGGGACAACGGGGCGGGGTGATGGAAAGCGGGAGAATGGGGCGGGTGATGGAAAGAGGGAGAATGGGGCGGGGTGATGGAAAGCAGTACAATGGGGCGGGTTGATGGAAAGAGGGAGAATGGGGCGGGGTGATGGAAAGCGGGAGAATGGGTCGGGGTAATGGAAAGAGGGAGAATGGGGCAGGGTGATGGAAAGAGGGAGAATAAGGCGAGGTGATGGAAAGCAGCAGAATGGGGAGGGGTGATGGAAAGCGGGAGAAAGGGGCGGGGTGATGGAAAGTGGGAGAATGGGGCGGGGTGATGGAAAGCGGAAGAATGGGGCGGGGTGCTGGAAAGAGGGAGAATGGGGTGGGTTGATGGAAAGCAGGAGAATGGGGCGGGGTGATAGAAAGAGGTAGAATGATGCGTGTTGATGGAAAGCGGGAGAATGGGGTGGGGTAATGGAAATCGGGAGAATGGGGTGGTTGATTGAAAGCGGGAGAATGGGGTGGGGTTCTGGAAAGAGGGAGAATGGGGCGGGTTTGTAAAGAGGGAGAATGCAGCGGGGTGATGGAGAGCGGGAGAATGGGGCGGGGTGATGGGAAGCGGGAGAATTGAGCCGAGTGATGGAAAGCAGGAGAAAGGGGCGGCTTTATGGAAAGTGGGAGAATGGGGCGGGGTGATGGAAAGCGGGAGAATGGGGCGGGGTGATGGAAAGCGGGAGTATGGAGCGGGGTGATGGAAAGCGGGAGAATGGGGCGGGGAGATGGTACGCAGGAGAATGTGGTGGGGTGATCGAAAGCGGAAGAAGGGGGTGGGGTGATGGAAAGCGGGAGAAAGGGGCGGGGTGATGGAAAGCAGGAGAACGGTGCGGGGTGATGGAAAGCGGGAGAAAGAGGCGGGGTGATGGAAAGCGGGAGAATGGGGCGGGGTGATGGAAAGCGGGAGAATGGGGCGGGGTGATGGAAAGCAAGAGAAAAGGGTGGGTGATGGAAAGCGGGAGAATGGGTCGGGGTGATGGAAAGAGGGAGAATGGGGCGGGGTGATGGAAAGAGAGAGAATAAGGCGAGGTGATGGAAAGCAGAAGAATGAGGCGGGGTGATGGAAAGCGGGAGAATGGGGCGGATGATGGAAAGAGGGAGAATGGGGCAGGGTTTGTAAAGAGGGTGAATGGGGCGGGGTGATGGAAAGCGAGAGAATGGGGCCGGTTGATGGAAAGCAGGAGAATGGGGCGGGGTGATGGAAAGCGGGAGAATGGGGCGGGGTGATGGAAAACAGGAGAATGGGGCGGGGTGATGGAAAGAGGGAGAATGGGGCGGGCTGATGGAAAGCAGGACAATGGGGCGGGTTGATGGAAAGAGGTTGAATGGGGCGGGGTGATGGAAAGCGGGAGAATGGGGTGGGGTGATGGAAAGGGGGAGAATAGGGTGGGTGATGGAAAGCGGGAGAATGGGTCAGGGTGATGGAAAGAGGGAGAATGGGGCGGGGTGATGGAAAAAGGGAGAATAAGGCGAGGTGATGGAAAGCAGAAGAATGGGGAGGGGTGATGGAAAGCGGGAGAATGGGGCGGGGTGATGGAAAGTGGGAGAATGGGGTGGGGTGATGGAAAGCGGGAAAATGGGGCGGGGTGATGGAAAGCGGAAGAATGGGGTGGGGTGCTAGAAAGAAGGAGAATGGGGTGGGTTGATGGAAAGCAGGAGAATGGGGCAGGGTGATGGAAAGAGGGATAATGGGGCGGGTGATGGAAAGTAGGAGAATGGGGCGGGGTGATAGAAAGCGGGAGAATGGGGTGGGGTAATGGAAATCGGAAGAATGGGGTGGTTGATTGAAAGCGGGAGAATGGGGCGGGGTTCTGGAAAGAGGGAGAATTGGGCGGGGTTTGTAAAGAGGGAGAAAGGGGCGGGGTGATGGAAAGCGGGAGAATGGGGCGGGGTGATGGGAAGCGGGAGAACTGAGCCGAGTGATGGAAAGCAGGAGAAAGGGGCGGCTTTATGGAAAGCGGGAGAATGGGGCGGGGTGATGGAAAGCGGGAGAATGGGGCGGGGTGATGGAAAGCGGGAGTATGGGGCGGGGTGATGGAAAGCGGGAGAATGGGGCGGGGAGATGGAACGCAGGAGAATGTGGTGGGGTGATGGAAAGCGGAAGAATGGGGTGGGGTGATTGAAAGCGGGAGAATGGGGCGGGGTGACGGAAAGCAGGAGAATGGGGCGGGGTGATGGAAAGCGGGAGAATGGGACGGGGTGATGGAAAGCGGGAGAATGGGGCGGGATGATGGAAAGCGGGAGAATGGGGCGGGGTGATTGAAAGCGGGAGAATGGGGCGGGGTGATGGAAAGCAGGAGAATAGGGTGGGTGATGGAAAGCGGGAGAATGGGTCGGGGTGATGGAAAGAGGGAGAATGGGGCGGGGTGATGGAAAGAGAGAGAATAAGGCGAGGTGATGGAAAGAAGAAGCATGGGGCGGGGTGATGGAAAGCGGGAGAATGGGGTAGGGTGATGAAAAGCGGGAGAATGGGGCGGGGTGATAGAAAGCGGGAGAATGGGGCGGGTTGATGGAAAGCGGGAGAACAGGGCGGGGTGATGGAAAGCGGGAGAATGGGGCGGGCTGATGGAAAGCGGGACAATGGGGCGGGGTGATCGAAAGCGGGAGAATGGGGTGGGGTGATGGAAAGCGGGAGAATGGGGCGGGGTGATGGAAAGCGGGAGAATAGGGTGGGTGATGGAAAGCGGGAGAATGGGTCGGGGTGATGGAAAGAGGGAGAATGGGGCGCGGTGATGGAAAGAGAGAGAATAAGGCGAGGTGATGGAAAGCAGAAGAATGGGGCGGGGTAATGGAAAGCGGGAGAACGGGGTGGGGTGATGAAAAGCGGGAGAATGGGGCGGGGTGATGGAAAGCGGGAGAAAGGGGCGGGGTGATGGAAAGGGAGAGAACGGGGCGGGGTGATGGAAAGCGGGAGAATGGGGCGGGCTTATGGAAAGCGGGACAATGGGGCGGGGTGATGGAAAGCGGGAGAATGGGGCGGGGTGATGGAAAGCGGGAGAATGGGGTGGGGTGATGGAAAGCAGGAGAATAGGGTGGGTGATGGAAAGCGGGAGAATGGGTCGGGGTGATGGAAAGAGGGAGAATGGGGCGGGGTGATGGGAAGAGGGAGAATAAGGCGAGTTGATGGAAAGCAGAAGAATGGGGCGGGGTGATGGAAAGCGGGAGAATGGGGTGGGGTGATGAAAAGCAGGAGAATGGGGCGGGGTGATGGAAAGCGGAAGAATGGGGTGGGGTGATGGAAAGAGGGAGAATGGGGTGGGTTGATGGAAAGCAGGAGAATGGGGCAGGGTGATGGAAAGAGGGATAATGGGGCGGGTGATGGAAAGCAGGAGAATGGGGCGGGGTGATAGAAAGAGGCAGAATGATGCGGGTTGATGGAAAGTGGGAGATTGGGGTGGAGTGATGGAAATCGGGAGAATGGGGTGGTTGATTGAAAGCGGGAGAATGGGGCGGGGTTATGGAAAGAGGGAGAATGGGGCAGGGTTTGTAAAGAGGGAGAATGGGGCGGGGTGATGGAAATCGGAAGAATGGGGCGGTGTGATGGAAATCGGGAGAATGGGGCGGGGTGATGGGAACCGGGAGAATTGAGTGGAGTGATGGAAAGTGGGAGAAAGGGGCGGCTTTATGGAAAGCGGGAGAATGGGGCGGGGTGATGGAAAGCCGGAGAATGGGGCGGGGTGCTGGAAAGCGGGAGAATCAGGCGGGGTGCTGAAAAGCCGGAGAATGGGGCGGGGTGATGGAAAGCGGGAGAATGGGGCGGGGTGATGGAAAGCGGGAGAATGGGCCGGGGTGATAGAAAGCGAGAGAATGGGGCGGGGTGATGGAAAGAGGGAGAATGGGGCGGGGTGATGGAAAGCGGTAGAATGGGGCGGGGTGATGGAAAGCGGGAGAATGGGGCGGGTGATGGAAAGCGGGAGAATGGGGCCAGGTGATGGAAAGCGAGAGAATGGGGCGGGGTGCTGGAAAGCGGGAGAATGGGGTGGGGTGATGGAAAGAGGGAGAATGGGGCGGGGTGATGGAAAGTAGGAGAATGGGGCGGGGTGACGGAAAGCGGGAGAATGGGGCGGGGTGATGGAAAGCTGGAGAATGGGGCGGGTTGATGGAAAGCAGGAGAATGGGGCGGGTGATAGAAAGCGGGAGAATGGGGCGGGGTGACGGAAAGCGGGAGAATGGGGCGGGGTGATGGAAAGCGAGAGAATGGGGAGGGGTGAAGGAAAGCGGGAGAATGGGGCGGGGTGATGGAAAGCGGGAGAATGGGGCGGGGTGATTGAAAGTGGGAGAATGGGGTGGGGTGATAGAAAGAGGGAGAATGGGACAGGGTGATGGAAAGAGGGAGAATGGGGCGGGGTGATGGATAGTGTGAGAATGGAGCGAGGTGATGGAAAGTGGGAGAATGGGGCGGGTGATGGAAAGCGGGAGAATGGGGCGGGTGATGGAAAGCGGGAGAATGGGGTGGGGTGATGGAAAGCGGGAGAATAGGGCGGGGTGATGGAAAGCGGGAGAATGGGGTTGGGTGATGGAAAGCGGGAGAATGGGGCGGGGTAATGGAAAGCGGGAGAACGGGGCGAGGTGATGGAAAGCAGGAGAATGGGGCGGGGTGATGGAAAGCGGGAGAATGGGGTGGGGTGATGGAAAGTAGGAGAATGGGGCGGGGTGATGGAAAGCGGAAGAATAGGGTGGGTGATGGAAATCAGGAGAATGGGTCGGGGTGATGGAATGAGGGAGAATGGGGCGGGGTGATGGAAAGAGGGAGAACGGGGCGAGGTGATGGAAAGTAGGAGAATGGAGCGGGGTGATGGAAAGTAGGAGAAAGGGGCGGGGTGATGGAAAGCAGGAGAATGGGGCGGGGTGATGTAAAGCGGAAGAATAGGGCGGGGTGATGGGAAAGAGGGAGAATGGGGTGGGGTGATGAAAGCGGGAGAATGGGGCGGGGTGATGGAAAGAGGGATAATGCGGCGGGTTGATGGAAAGCGGGAGAATGGGGCGGGGTGATAGCAATCGGGAGAATGGGATGGTTGATTGAAAGCGGGAGAATGGGGCGGGGTTATGGAAAGAGGGAGAATGGGGCGGGGTTTGTAAAGAGGGAGAATGGGGCGGGGTGATGGAAAGCGGGAGAATGGGGTGGGGTGATGGAAAGAGGGAGAATGGGGCGGGGTGATGGAAGGCGGGAGAATGGGGCGGGGTGATGGAAAGTTGGAGAATGGGGTGAGGTGATGGAGAGCGGGAGAACGGGGAGGGGTGATGGAAAGCGGGAGAATGGGTCGGGGTGATTAAAAGCGAGAGAATGGTGCGGGGTTATGGAAAGCGGTAGAATGGGGCGGGGTGATGGAAAGCGGGAGAATGGGGCGGGTTGAATGAAAGCAGAAGAACACGCGGGGTTATGGAAAGTGGGAGAAAGGGGCGGGGTGATGGAAAGCGGGAGAATGGGGCGGGGTGATGGATAACGGGAGAATGGGGCGGGGTGATGGAAAGCGGGAGAACGTGGCGGGGTGATGGAAAGCGGGAGAATGGGGCGGGGTTATGGAAAGTGAAAGAATGGGGCGGGGTGATGGAAAGTTGGAGAATGGGGCGTGCGTGGTCCAGGAGTGTGCCTCTTCCAGGAGCTTTCTTGGGCCAGGATCTTGCCTGGTCCAAGAGCTTGCCTGGTCCAGGAGCTTGCCTGGTCCAGGAGCTTGCCTGGTTTAGAGGCTTGCCTGGTCCTGGTGCTTGCCTGGTCCAGGAGATTGCCTGGTTAGGAGCTTTCCTGGTCTAAGAGCTTGTATGGTCAAAGAGCTTGCTTGGTCCAAGAGCTTGGCTGGTCCAAGAGCTAGCGTGGTCCAGGAGCTTAGGGACCAAGCAAGCTCCTGGACCAGGCAAGCTCTTTGACAAGACAAGCTCTTGGACTAGGCAAGCTCCTAACCAGGCAAGCTTGTCTGGTCAAAGAGCTTGCTTAGTCCACGAGCTTGCCTGGTCCACGAGCTTGCCTGGTTGAGGAGCGTAGGGACAAGGCAAGCTCTTGGACCAGGCAAGCTCCTGGACCAGACAAGCTTCTGGAGTAGGCACACTTCTGGACCAGGCACGCTCCTGGACACGGCAAGCTCCTGAACCAGGCAAGCTCCTTCACCAGGTGAGCTCGTGGACCAGGCAAGCTTCTTGACCAGGCAAGCTCCTGGACAAGGCATGCTCCTGGACCAGGCAAGCTCATGGACTAGGCACGCTCCTAGACCAGGCACGCTCCTGGACCAGGCACGCTCCTGGACCAGGCAAACCTTAGGAAAAGGCAAGCTCTTGGACCAAGCAATCTCGTGGACTAGGCAAGCTCGTGGACCAGGCAAGCTTCTGGACCAGGCAAGCTCCTTGACTAGGAAAGCTCCTTGACTCGACATGCTCTTGGAACAGGCAAGCTCCTGGACTAGGCACACTCTTGGACCAGTCAAGCTCTGGAACTAGACAAGCTCTTGGACTAGGCAAGCTCCTGGGTCGGGCAAGCTCCTGGACCAGGCACGCTCCTGGACCAGGCAAGCTCCTAGACCAGTCAAGCACCTAATCCAGGCAAGCTCCTGGACCAAGCACGCTCCCAGACCAGGCAAGCTCCTGGACCAGGCAAGCTCCTGGACTGGGCAAGCTCCTGGACCATGCATGCTATTGGACCAGGCAAGCTCCTGGACTAGGCAAGCTCCTAGACCAGGCACACTACAGACCAGGCACGCTCTTGGACCAGGCAAGCTCATGGACCAGGTAAGCTCCTTCATCACTTACGCTCCTTCACCAGGCGCCCAAAACACGGAAGGAGCCACGTGACTCGACGAAAGAAAAACGCTCGGAATGAGCGCTTCCACCGCCAAAACGCAGAAGGGTCCGCACTTGTGCAGGAAGTGCAGCGGGCGCTCTTCATTCGCGAGGGCCGACGATCGATGATGCTAGCGACCCTCCCACGCCCTTGCCGGCTTGGCAATTAGACCAGAAAAATGCAGCCATGTGACGGGGCAGAAGAGAAACGTTCGGAACGAGAGCTTCCACCCCCAAAACTTGAAGTGCATCGCGCGCTCTTCATTTGCGAGCGCCGATGACCGATGATGCTTGCAACCCTCCCAAGCCCTTGCTGGCTTGGTAATAGGACCAGACAAGCGCAGCCACGTGACCCGGCGGAAGAAAAAGGCTCGGAACGATCGCTATTACCCCCAAACGCGGAAGGAGCGGTACATGTGCAGGAAGTGCAGCGGGCGCCCTTCATTCGCGAGCGTTGATAAACTATGATGCTTACAACCCTCCCATGCCCTTGCTGGCTGGTAATAGGACCATACAAATGCAGCCACGTGATTCGGCGGAAGAAAAACGCTCGTAACGAGCGCTACGACCCCCAAAACGCGGAATGAGCCGCACATGTGCAGAAAAGTGCAGCGGGCGCTCTTCATTCGCTAGCGCCGATGACCGATGACGCTTGCAACCCTCCCATGCCCTTGCTGGCTTGGTAATAGGATCAGACAAGTGCGGCCACGTGACCCGGTGGAAGAAAAACGCTCGGAACGAGCGCTTCCACCCCCAAGCTCCTGGACCAGGCAAGCTCCTAGACCAGGCAAGCTCCTGGACTTGGAAAGCTCCTGACCAGGCAAGCTCCTGGACCGGGCAAGCTCCTGGACCAAGTACGCTCGTGGACCAGGCAAGCTCCTGGACAAGGCAAGCTCTTGGACCACACAAGCTCTTGTACTAGGCACGCTCTTGGACCAGGCAAGCTCTTGGACCAGGCAAGCTCGTGGACCTGGCACGATCCTGGACTAGGCAAGCTCCTGGACGAGGCAAGCTCCTGGACCAGGCAAGCTCCTGGACCAGGCAAGTTCCTGGACCAGGCAAGCTCCTGGACCAGGCAAGCTCGTGGACCAGGCAAGCTCGTGGACCATGCAAGCTCGTGGACAAGGCAAGCTCTAGGACTAGGCACGCTCATGGACCATGCGCGCTCGTGGACCAGGCAAGCTCCTAAACCAGGCAAACTCATGGACCAAGCATTCTCGTGGACCAGGCAAGCTCCTGGACCAGGCAAGCTCCTTGACCACGCAAGCTCCTGGACCAGGCAAGCTCTTGGACCAGGCACACTCCTGGACCAAGCAAGCTCCTAGACCAGTCAAGGTCCTGGACCAGGCAAGCTCCTGGACCAGGCAAGCTTGTGGACCAGGCATGCTCCTGTACCAGGCAAGCTCCTAAACCAGGCAAACTCATGGACCAAGCATTCTCCTGGAACTGGCAAGCTCCTGGACCAGGCAAGCTCCTGTACCACGCAAGCTCTTGGACTAGGCAAGCTCTTGGACTAGGCATGCTCCTGGACCAAGCAAGCTCCTAGACCAGGCAAGGTCCTGGACCAAGCAAGCTCCTGGACCAGGCAAGCTTGTGGACCAGGCACGCTCCTGGACCATGCAAGCTCCTTGACCACGCAAGCTCTTGGACCAGGCAAGCTCCTGGACCAGGCAAGCTCTTTGACTAGGCAAGCTCGTGGACCAGGCATGCTCCTGGACCAGGCAAGCTCCTAGACCACGCAAGCTCCTGGAACAGGCAAGCTCGTGCACCAGGCAAGCTCGTGGACCGGGCAAGCATCTGGACCAGGCAAGCTCCTCGACCACGCAAGCTCTTGGACCAGGCAAGCTCGTAGATTAGGCACGCTCCTAGACCGTGCAAGCTCCTGGACTAGGCACGCTCCTTGAACATGCAAGCTCCTGGACCAGGCAAGCTCCTGGACTTGGCAAGTTCCTGGACCAGGCAAGCTCCTGGACCACGCAAGCTCTTGGATGAGGCAAGCTCGTGGACCAGGTACGCTCATGGACCAGGCACGCTCTTTGACAAGGCAAGCTCTTGGACAAGGCAGGCTCGTGGACCACGCAAGCTCGTGGACGAGACAAGCTCCTGGACCAGGCAAGCTCTTAGACCACGCTAGCTCCTTGACGAGGCAAGCTCCTAGACCAGGCACGCTCCTGGACAAGGCAAGCTCCTAGACCAGGCAAGCTCTTGGACTAGGCACGCTCTTGGACCAGGCAAGCTCTTCGACCACGTAGGCTTCTGGACCAAGCAAGCTCCTGGACTAGGCACACTCCTAGACCAGGCACGTTCTTGGACAAGGCAAGCTTGTGGACCAAGCAAGCTCCCGGACCAAGCAAGCTCCTGGATCAGGCACGCTCGTGGACCAGGCAAGCTCTTAGACCAGACAAGCTCGTGGAGCAAGCACGATCCTCGACCAAGCAAGCTCCTAGACCAGGCACACTCCTGGACCAGGCCCGCTCGTGGACAAGGCAAGCTCCTGGACCAGGCAAGCTCCTGGACCAGGCAAGCTCGTGGAATATGCAAGCTCCCGGACCAGGCAAGCTCTTGGACTAGGCAAGCTCTTGGACCAGGAAAGCTCCTGGACAAGGCAAGCTCCTTGACACGGCAAGCTAACGGACCAAGAAAGCTTCTGGACTAGGCAAGCTCGTGCACCAGGCAAGCTCATGGACCAAGCAAGCACCTGGACCAAGCAAGCTCCTAGGCGAGGCAAGCTCCTTGACCAGGCAAGCTCCTGGACAAGGCAAGCTCCTGGACCAGGCAAGCTCGTGGATTAGGCACGCTCCTGGACCAGTTAAGCGCCTGGACCAGGCAAGCTCCTAGACCAGGCAAGCTCCTAGACCAAGCAAGCTCCTGGACCAGGCAAGCTCCTGGACTAGGCAAGCTCATGGATCAGGCAAGCTCGTGGACCAGGCACGCTCCTAGACGAGGCAAGCTCTTGGACCAGGCACTCTCTTGGACCAGGCAAGCTCTTGGACCACGCAGGCTCGTGGACCAGGCAAGCTCCTGGACCAGGCAAGCTCCTTGACGAGGCAAGCTCCTGGACCAGGCACGCTCCTGGACCAGGCAAGCTCCTGGACCATGCAAGCTCCTGGACCATGCAAGCTCTTGGACCAGGCACGCTCCTGGACTATGCAAGCTCTTGGACTAGGCAAGCTTCTGGACCAAGGAAGCTCCTGGACCATGCAAGCTCCTGGACCAGGCAAACTCCTGGACCAGGCTAGCTCCTGGACCAGGCAAGCTCGTAGACCAGGCAAGCTCCTGGACCACGCAAGCATTTGGACCATGCATGCTCGTGGACTAGGCAAGCTCTTGGAACAGGCAGGCTTCAAGACCAAGCAAGGTCCTGGACCAGGCAAGCTCCTGGACCACGCAAGCTCCTAGACCAGGCAAGCTCCTGGACTTGGCAAGCTCCTGGACAAGGCAAGCTCCTGTACCAGGCAAGATCCTGGACAAGGCAAGCTCCTCGACCACGCAAGCTCTTGTACTAGGCACGCTCTTGGAGCAGGCAAGCTCTTGGACCAGGCACGCTTCTCGACCAAGCAAGCTCCTGGACCAGGAAGCTCTGGACCAGGCAAGCTCTTGGACCAGGCAAGCTCGTGGACCTGGTACGATCCTGGACTAGGCAAGCTCCTAGACGAGGCAAGCTCCAAGACCCGGCAAGCTCCTTGACCACGCAAGCTCTTGGACCTGGCAAGCTCGTGGACCAGGCGAGCTCGTGGACCAGGCAAGCTCCTGGACCAGCCAAGCTCGTGGACCAGGCAAGCTCCAGGACCAGGCAGGCTCGTGGACCAGGCAAGCTCCTAAACCAGGCAAACTCATGGACCAAGCATTCTCGTGGACCAGGCAAGCTCCCGGACCAAGCAAGTTCCTTGACCACGCAAGCTCCTTGACCAGGCAAGCTCTTGGACCGGGCACGCTCCTGGACCAAGCAAGCTCCTAGACCAGGCAAGGTCCTGGACAAGGCAAGCTCCTGGACCAGGCAAGCTTGTGAACCAGGCACACTCCTGTACCAGGCAAGCTCCTAAACCAGGCAAACTCATGGACCAAGCATTCTCCTGGACCAGGCAAGCTCCTGGACCAGGCAAGCTCCTGGACCACGCAAGCTCCTGGACTAGGCAAGCTCTTGGACCAGGCAAGCTCCTAGACCAGGCAAGGTCCTGGACCAGGAAAGCTCCTGGACCAGGCAAGCTTGTGGACCAGGCACGCTTCTGGACCAGGCAAGCTCCTAGACCACACAAGGTCCTGGACCAGGCAAGCTCCCGGACCAGGCAAGCTTGTGGACCAGGCACGCTCTGGGACCAGGCAAGCTCCTTGACCATGCAAGCTCTTGGATCAGGCAAGCTCTTGGACCAGGCAAGCTCCTGGACCAGGCGAG